GGGACAACATCAAATCCACTTCGTACTCTGCTGACGCTTAGAAACAACTCACACAACCTACGTGGCGAACTGATTCTTGTACAACCCAGAGTCAACACTACTAAGCATGGGCTAAATACTTTCAGGTACTTTGGTCCAAAAATCTGGAACTCTTTAAATAATGACTTAAGAACTTCACGAACACTAAAAGAGTTTGTAACACGTATCAGGAAAATTGCTTTTGACGTATGTAACTGTACCCTTTGTTGCTCTTAGACTTAATATCATTTTTACTCTGTATGTAGTTTTAGTACCCTATCTTTTCCGTAGCATGTATATAGTTATATTAGTGTATTTATAATGTTATTAAATTGGTTGATTAATTAATTAATTAGTTAACCTTATATTTTACTTATTATCTCTGAACTTTTGTTGTAACTTTTTAGAATTATTTTTCATTTATTTTCTACTCGATTCATTAGCTATTTAAACTAGGTACCTGACAAGCTCCATAAATTTCGAGTATAAATAAATCTACATCTACAAATCTACACTAACTCCGCACACTTTTGTCACGCACTCCCCGTAAATAAATATCCGAAAAATTCGCCCGCACTGAAATAACAATTTGGCGTGTTGGATAATAAGTAACTTATTAAACGTTTTGTTGTGTCTTATCGCTGAGTATTTTACCCGTTAATTGTATTTTGACTCGGCCTACGGGCTCGTCAAAGTACGGCACAACTCCTAAAAATTACAATTATTATTCGATACTACACAACAAAACGTCATGTAAGACGTTCTGTTCTATCCTTTTCTTTCGTGGGTATTAATGGTTACACACTTAAATCCGCTTTGAAATAAAGTTTACCTCTACTTCTTCTACCACCACTTTGGTTCAACATCAAAAAAGCTCGTTCGGCGCTAGTTTTGAAGGCATCTTCGACTGAAAATTTTCAAACTACATGAAAAGGATAATGGCTCCTGTTTACCAATTTTCAAAATTGAAACGGATTCTGTTACATAGGGAAGATTAATCTGCCATTTGGTGTACGTTGAGTTTTTGGTGGGTAGTAAAGGTTTTACGAAAATCGATATTGGAAATGACTTTCAAACAAAAAATGACCGAATTTAGTGCATTTTCAAGTACACAAGGCTGATCCTTGTACTTCGTAAATGGCCTTCATCTTGTGTGCAAATTGCAGACACATCTTTAATCTTCAAAAAGCCGCGTTTTGATTTGGAAGTTAGTACCTCGGTCTATAACTCCGAAAAGTACGTTTTATGAAGCCTTGTGGGTCAACTGGCCTATTCTTCTCTAACTAGCGAGGTTCCGTTCAAATTTGCCGTTTTTAGGGCTACTGCTTCCCAAGAAGGCGAAGCCATAATTCTGTCCTGTTGAGTGAGTGGTGAGGCCATCATTTTGTCTTGTTGAGTGGGTGGCGAGGCCATCATTTTGTCCTGTTGAGTGAGTGGTAAAGTCATAGTTTTGTCCTGTTGAGTGAGTGATAATGCCATCATTTTGTCCTGTTGAGTGAGTGGTAATGCCATAATTTTGTCCTGTTGAGTGAGCGGCGAGGCCATAATTTTGTCCTGTTGAGTGAAAGACGAAGCCGTAATTTTGTCCTGTTGAGTGAGTGAGCTCGAGTGTAACAATAGAATACGAATGCCCACCACGAAGTCTGCCGAGTTTCACCCGAAATATGTATTCCTCGCTGTTGGTTTGGAAACTTTGGAGAAAAACTTAGTTATCCAAAAAGAGAACATTTAATCATTTTAATCAGCGGAAAATGCTCAAAAGAGCCGCTAGATTTTCGAAGTGAGGAAGGTCCGAAGTACAGAGTAAACATTCAAAAGCTTCAAGTACCAATCTAGCGAGGTCCGAAATACGATACCTTGAGTTTAGCAGTGACTCTTTCCTCGAACATGGACCATGGAATATCTTTTTGCATGAAACAAAAGTCTCACAAAAATGAAATTGCAATAAAAAAAAATTAATGATTTGTAATAAACTGGCAAAACTAAAGTTAAACTTGATAAAAGAAGTCTAGTTTAATCATTATTGGAGCCTAGAGAATAGACCGATAAAAAAAGAGCTAACCGCTATAAGTTATCATCACTATAAAGCTAACCATTATAAGTTATAATCACTATAAAGCTAACCGCTATAAGTTATCATTACTATTACCGCTGTCATCATCATTATTGGCAGTATTATCCTTTACATTATCGCTATCATTACTGTTGACATGATTATTTGGTGCTATTTAATTATTGGTGGTTCAGTGTCAATTAGTCAACATGTTTTTGGATCATCTTTCTTTTGTGGAACAAGCCTGAGTCATGAATATACTCCTAACGCATCATCGCATATTTATATTTACATGCAGTCGTAAAGTCCATTTTTAGTGATGCTCCCGCATTCTGCTTTAGAGGAATTCTTTCAACGAACTTCTGACTTTAACACGTCAAGCTTCCAAAATAAAATTGATTGATAGTTCTATTTAAATATTTATTAAGTTTTTTCTTATATAAAATAGCCACCAATGCTCAGAGCCTAAATTTTTACTTGATGATTCATTTCGAGAGAGAGGAGTACAATAAGTTTCGCTCTCAACTTGTCTGACTTCCTCCCAGACGCTCTGTCTTATATAATGCCTCCAGATCGCAAGAGTGACCACAGAAAGAAAATTACTTACCTTCCAAAAATCCTCCGATGGACAAGGGATCGTTTGGCTCTGTGCACTGCACTGGGAATCTCTCTACAGAGTGAAAAGTATGAGTCAGCCAAATTCGGCATACGCTAAGGAGTTTTTCATGCAATGGAGCAAAGTTTCCCAAAGTTTCGGGGAAATTATATGAATTAAAACAAAACAAACGTCCCAGATCGTCAGCGTAAGTTACCTTGTAGCTGATTATCCTGATCTTCTGTAGCCTCTGTTACGCACGAGAGAAACCATTGAATCACCTGAATCAAAACTTGAAAAAGTTTTATTAAGAAGAGGAGGAAAGGACGCATATTTGGAGTACTTAATCAACGACTGACAAAATGAGAGGTGATTTACGTTCTATAAGACCCTTCAACAACTCTTTGGTATTGTGGTCTTTAATCATGCGGATAATTGCGTATAAGTATCTGATTACTGACCTCTGTCGACACGAAACGTTTCCTCATGCCCAGGGGAGTTGAAATTTGAATTTCATGACGTTATATATAAATGGATAATCACATACTCTACGCATGTTGCTAAGTAATAAAATTAAATTCTCTTCAATCTAATTGTCAACATTTCGCAAGACTCAATTACTGTTTACAAAAATATAACGATTTCCCATCTGATTTTTCATGCCTTTGATTCCATGACTATGAATTCCAGCAAAGTCAACGAAATGTACGTGATAACTGATGATGTTTTCTGTTTTCTCTTCTTTGATGTCCTTATCACTCGGGTTAAGCAGTCATTTTAAATGACTGGTTAGGTAATACCCTAGGCTCTGTGCCAAGTACTTAGGGTCTGTCTGTAAAGAGCGGACGGGGCGGGGGGTGAATACAGATTTCCTTACCACAAATATCTCAGCTTATAATGTAACAGCTGTGAGGATTCCCATGGCTATTAACAACCGGATGTCCGCTTTGCGGTTGACCGGTTTGCTATAATCACTTGCATGACTAGGAGAAATCGTTGATTACGAAGTGGTGAATATGACGGGAAGGTGATGTATTTATGAGAGTAAGACACTTTGAAGTGATGCATTAACAGTCATCTTGGGAGACTAAAATGAAAATAACACGTATGATAAACAGTTGACTCTTGTCCGAGTGACGTGTTTGTACGTGTCTGCTATGTCAATAAGAAGCAAATAACCGAAAAATATTTCGGGGCGAAAGCTTTATTCAAAACAGTTTTGATGTGCTGTTAGAAGCGAAAAACGTATGATTTTTATTTGAAGCGAAAATGCGCTTACTCTTACATATACTCTTAATATACTATCAGTAGGCATGTTTGGGCTTACGGGACAACTGACCTTGGCAGAGTAAACATATTGTTAGAACGCCAACCCAAACATTTTCACAAGACATCCGATATGAACAACGAAGTAGTCGAAAAACAATCCACTGATTTCGAGAGCTGAAAAACCTGCTGTTGAGGACTTGTAATAAGGTCAAGAACAAACTCAAATACGACTAGAGATCGTCGTGCGAAAACGCCCTGTCACAACGGTCAAGGACACATCACTCAAAAGGAAAAATAAGTATATAGTCTTGCAGCACATGACAACCCAAGGCTTACAGGACCCGCACGAGGATTTCAAGTTAATCTAACGGGCCTAACCATTTCCCAGACACTGATTGGCTGCCTACTAACTGCCAATCAGGAGAGGAGAGGTGGGGGAGGGGGGTAGAGCCAAATAAGGGGATCATCAAAACATCTTGTTCTGACAGACTGAAAATCCTCCGAATTCTCCCCTTCCCCACTCCCGCAAGGCGATACATAATGAGCGGTCCCGCATCGTATACAGTTTTCAATAGCAACTCTCGACTGAGCGATAATTCTATAGAGGACAGGCTATAAGGGTGGGTGTAAATGTTACCAGGTAGGCTTTCTCTCCGTAAAGCACAGTCATTCAAGGATATTCTGCCTCAGTTACATTTAAAGTAAAACTACATCGGAATTCATAATCAAAACTCTCTCCCTTCTCCCCTCCACCTTCGGGAAAAGAGGTGTGGAGGGGAGTGGAGGGAGNTACCGTATACCAAATAACATCGTTTTTCGTTTCAATTATGGTAATTCGTTAATAATATATCAAAAAACTAATATCAGTTCTGTTTGTCTTCGCTAGGAATGATTCAAAAAAGATTATTGAACTTATGTAAAATTTGGTACTTCTCAGTCCTTAATAAAATTGCTTTTAATTGCTTACAAAATGTTTTAATCCGTTCCACTAGTGTTAAGTGTTAATTACTTACGAAACTACTTTTCCTGATAAAAATTGTCATTTAAAAATACTAAACTACATTAGATTGTGCTGGAGATACAAGCTTGTACAGTGTACTCAAACCTACCCAATCGATAGTTTTGGAAGCATCGTTTCCTTATCAAATTAAACAGGTGTATAGTCCGCCTGTGCAAACAACAACAGCTGGCCAATATTAACGTAACTATGGACATTTTTATCATAAAATTTTTAAGGACAAATCTTGACCAAGTATTTAAAGAGAACGGGAACAAAATTTGTAAGATTGTAACTTTCTATTTGATCTTCGATTCATCATCGAAAGCCGGCTCTTTAAAGTAGCGCTAAGATAAACCAAGAAACTACTTTTTTTTAGCTGATCTCTGCTCATCTGATTTGATAGCAAATCGAAAGCCTCAGGTTTTCTACATCAGTCGGTCCTTCTTGGTCTGAACACTGCACTGGTAAATTATCTGGAACATTAGTAAAATTTGCAAAACTGAGGATATAGAATAAGGTTTTTAAGCTTATTACTAACTCCCGCTCGTAAATGATACAGCGAACGGTTCCCATGTGTAGTAACAACAGAAGTATAGGTGAGCAAACTTGACAAAAAAGCACTTACCTGGTAAATGCCCATTTTGATTCGGTTCAGTGCATGGCACAGGGAACCTGTCTGAAAACCAAACTAGAATTTTAATGATGATGTTTTTTTAAGTTTCCACTCAACATTTTGAAAAAAGATTTATACTGGCTGTTAACAAGAAAGAAGTGGAACACTCGAACTACTGTCTAATAGAACGACTTGATTTTGAACACAACAATGGCTAGAAGTACAAAGAAACACATTTGTGAAATACAAACAAACACATTTGTAAACAACAAAATCCATTTAAGGAAACGAGATATGATAAACATGATATTTATTTTCTGCTTTCTCTTCTTTGCTGTCTCTCTGATATCTCGAGCATTTCGGTCAAAAAGACTTTTACCCGCTAAAAGTCCAGTCGTTAAACCATCATTAGGCTCCGTGCAAAGCACTGGGGATCTGTCTGGAGAGAGAGTGGATTCAGATTATTTTACTGCTTATTACTAACAACAGCTGCAAGGATGTGAAAACAGTGATAATCACTAGTGAGCCTTAGACTGCCGAATCTTTTAAAATTTCAGGGAATCGTCCCTAAGATGTGATCTAGAGGCCTATTGTATCACCCAACTCAGTACTTCATAACTTTTAGCGCTCTAAATGTATTAAAAAAGAATAGGTATGCGTTATTGACCAGGCGTGGGGTCAAGATGGCTGCTGGTTTATAATCTTGAAAACATTGAAAAAATGATAATAATACCAATAAAACAAAACAAAGCAAACCAAACAAATAACCAACCAGGCCAACCACATAAACCTAAGAGCAAATTCTTGTCGCACCTAATCGTTGCCAAACAAGTATATGAAACAGTTGACAACTTTTTGACGGAAGTGACGTTACAGAAATCATGGGAAGATACGAAGCTTCCGTGTTTCCTCGCACATGTTTATTATTAACAGAAATTAAAGCCTTGTAACTAGAATCTACCAAAATGAAAGTATAAAACGCAGCGATAATTAATTAACACTGACGTTAAGGTTTCCTACTGTTTTCGTTCTGCGGTCTGATGAGATACAAGTTTTTAAAGAAAAAAATGAAAAAGTTCATCTTCAATATAACAGAGCAAATTAACTGTCATTGCAAGCTACAATGATCTTTACATGCAAATAAATTACCTTTCAATCTGAAAGATGTGGTAACGACGTTTCTTTTTACGGTTGGTTGGCAAGTTACATGTGTAACCAACCGTGCAACTACATTCAAAACATTAGTCAACTTTGTTCTATAATTATAGACGTCGCTCGGTAAGTACATTTACAAACAAGGATTCACATCGTATATAAAATAAATCACACTCAGAGTAAGAGGTATCGACTGTCTGATTTTCGACCAACCCGGTGGAAAATTAACTTCTCGATCATCGTGTTCTATAGCTGTTTGTTCAGTTATCTCGACTACGTTTTGTTGTTCAAAGTACAAGATCAGAAGCTTCAGAAGCCTTTCAATGAACATCATCAAGTCTTGAAAACGTCTTCTTAAGTACTGACGAATAGGTATTATTCACAAAAATTTTTGTGCGTTTCCGAGGTGTTTGAAATTTAGTGGCGATCAATGAGCAGGTAACGACGGAAAGATCCGGCAACTTAGCGCGTTCCAATGGCGTTTGCAAATTTCGTTGAGATGACAGCCACATCCACACAGTTGGTGGGCTGAATGAAGCTAATTCCTCGTTGTGCCTCATGTTAGGAGTGGTGGCTAGTGGTTGGGCAGCTCCCGCTCATCAAAGTGTGCAATAACAATAGTATGCGGGCGGTCGAAACGCGACCATTTAATTTAGCGACTCATTAACAACGAAAAAGTCTTTTCTAAAAGCATACACATAAACACAGGCACTTTTGTGAGCTGTTTCGTCGTTTTAAGAGAGTAAGTAGTGTTGTGGGCTCGTTGAGACCATTGTCTGCGTGACAAAATATACTAATGAATTCATAATTTGAGCAATATTCCGTTTTTAAAATTATTTGATCCGCTCAATTAGCCAGGAACGCCTCGGTTCATTGATTATGGTTTCGTGCATAGACGACATATGTTGTGTTGTCTTAAGCAGAAAACAAAGAACACGCAACCTTTATAAGGTGTTTGTAGTTAAAGTCATCACAGGGTTTTAAGCTTAAAGAATGTAATCAAGGTACTTTATACCTCCAATAAAGATATCTTTTTGAGAGGTCACCATTTCCCGCCTTGGTCCTTTCATTTCCAGAGGAATTTGAAGTCAACCATTTCCCTAAAAGTAAACTTCAACTTAAGGTGCAACTAAAACTTTTACTCTGAGACTCAGGTGATTCATGATGAAAGGGAAAAAACTCATCACTTTGGGATATTTATTGTTTTAAAAAATGCAATCAAGGTATTGTTGGTCACAATTGAATTTTCGAGCTGTCGCTATTTCCCGCGCTTTGATCCTATTAGTCCTATAGAAATGGCGACGTCTCCAAATTCTTTTCAAGTGAGGTGGGCTAGCCATTACTTGTCAATGAGTTAATTTGTATTCACTTTGGAAGAATGGGGGCATTTCGTTTTCATGGCGGATTTTACGGCGCATGCGGCGAATAGGTTCGTCTGCTGGCCTCCTCGTAAATACCGTAAAAAGCTCTACGCAACATTTCCTTCTTGATTAACAGCACTTGTATACGCTATCGCTACCACACTCTTGGCGTCAAGAGATGGAGTATAAATTCCCATCAAAACATTTTGAATATATACATTCATTTCGAATTGTTTAGACTTCGTCTTAATTGCTTATACTTTTTACATGTCTGACCAGTATTCAAATGAAGTTTAACGACAAAATTTTTTACACCATTTATGCTATAGAAATCTGATGGAAAGATACGGACGGACTTTCCTCCCTTAAGAAGGAAATGAATATCCTCGACGCGGAAATTAATTCTTTATCCCTAGTATCGAACGAAACGAATGGAAACGTTGTAGCGATGTTTACTCGTAACTATTGTAATGGGCCGAGAACTTTGATTACAATCTAGGGAAAATTGATAAAGGTTTGAAAGGGACTCCTGTTCTTAAGAAATATATCCAACCGTTCACATGGGTGACTAACAGAAAAAAGATAGGTAAGCAAACTTGACAACGAAGCATTTACCTGGTAAAACCCCATTTAGAGTCAGAATATTAGGTTCAGTGCATGGCACAGGGAATCTGTCTGAAAAAAAAACTTGTAGCACAAACTTGTAGCACTTCAATGGTCAATTTTGAATAACAATTTACACTGGCTGTTAATGATAAACAAGTGTGACACTTAAGCTACTGTTTTGCAGAACAACTTGATTTTGAACAGAAGAATGGCTCGAAATACAAAGAAGTTACAAAACAAACACATACGTAAACAACCAAATCCAGCTAAGCAAACGAAATACGATAAAGATGATATTTGTTTTCTGCTTCCTCGACTTTGTTGTGTTTCTGATATCTTGGTCGTTAGGTTAAGAAGAGATTTACCCGCTAAAAGTCCAATCGTTAAATCATCATTATGCTCCGTGCAAAGCCCTGGGGGTCTGTCTGGAGGGAAATTGACACAGGTTGTTGTATTCCTTATTTCTAACAACAGCTTCATTTCAAGGAATCGTCTCTAAGATGTGATCTGGAGGCGTAATGCATTATCTAGCCACTTCATAACTTTTTCAACGCTCTAAGTTTATTAAAAAAAGAATAAAGATATGTTATTTACCAGGCGTGGGGTCAAGATGGCTGAATATTGGCCGAGTCCTTTTTTCCGTTTTTTATAAGAACGCAAAACTAAAAAAGAACGAGGCTAATATCCAGCCATCCTCACCAAACAAGCTTGGTCAATAAAGGATTTATCATAGAGCAAAAATGTTTCGCTTTTATCAAAAATCAAGAATAACTTGTTTAGTTCGAGGGCAAGGAAAGATACCAATAAACCCGCGAGAGCGGTTTATGATTGTTTGTTTTGACTGCCCTCTGCCACTTTTTGCAACCCCATCGCCGAAATTGGCCATAAACTACGAACTTCGTAAGTTCGCTCCAGGCAAAGCAAGCGGGCAATCCCGAACGCGTAAGATGGGCCTACCTTGTTCGCTCGGGTAGCCAATCAGATCACGGGATTCGCTTCATATTGGCAACGGGCGCTGCCAGCGATATAGTAAAGAGGTCTTATTTCTCTAAACATATGAGACTAGTTTCTTCTCGATGCAAAATAGTAAATTGCTGCCGCTTTTGCATAGGCGATAGGGTTTAAAAACAAATAACTATAACTATTAATATATGCGCGTTAACAAACAGGCCGGGAGTTTGGCGGGGTATTGAAGACTGGAAATAAAATGTGTTCACGCAGCAGTCTAAAATACATAAAGAACAGTCCAGTATTGTTTAATACTGGTGAAAGATATGGAAGTCAAATATTAAAGTATAGTGTTTTGCAATTTTCTTAATTGCACTTGCTTGTAAATGCAACAAGCTTCTTTAGAGTAAAACGATTTTACAATCTTGAAAACATATTAGAGAAACAAAGCAAAACAGAACCATACAAAGTTAAACAAATAAACGACCAATCAGGCAAATCATATAAACCCAAGAGCAAATTCTCGTCGCACCTATTCGTTACCAAACAAGCATATGAAACAGTCGACAATTTTCTCTCTACAGAAATCATGGGAAGATACGGAGCTACCGACTTTTCTCGCATATCTATATCATGAACAGAAATTAAAGCCGTAAAGGTAACGAATCTGATCCAACCGACGCGTCGGCCAACACCTTGACCAACACGTTGATTTACTTGGACATCGCTGAGCAGTTTCCTCTGCAGTAAATGATTCTCTAACAAAAAAAACGGCTCCTTTAGGAGCCACCACATACAAAAAAGGAAATGACCAATGAGTTAGTAATCTCTGAATTAACCGACGCGTCGGTGAATTTACCGAAGCGTAGTAAACTTGCCGACACATTTGAAGTTATTTTTGTCGGCGAATTTATCTATGTGGAAGTAAGTTCACCGACATATCGACCGACGCGTCGGCCGATACGTTGGCCGACGCGTCGGTTGGATCAGATTCGTTACCTTACCCATTAAAGCTTTGTCACAAGAATCTCCCAAAATGAAGGCAAAAATTGCAGCGATGATTAATTAACACTGACGTGAAGGTTACCTACATTTTCTGTTTTACAGTCTGATAAGATACAGGTTCCTATGGAAAAAATGAAAAAGTTCATATCCGAGATAACTGAGCAAATTTACCGTCATTGCAAGCTAGGATCTGTAGATGCAAACGAAGTACTTTTCATTTTACGCTTGGTTGGCAAAATGCATGTACTACTAACTGTGAAACTCCAATTTTAAACATTAGTCAACGTCGTTCTATGATTATAGCCGCTCGGTAAATTCAAAAAGAGATTACGATCGCATATAAAATAAATGATGAACAGAGTAATAGGTATCGACCGTCTTATTTTCGACATACCTACTTGAAAATTAACGTCAGGTCAATTATGATTTCTGAGTGGCCCAACGTGACGTTTATTGCGACCTAACTTCTAAGTGTAGCACAAGCGTTTTATCAAAGGCATAAAGCGTTAACAGGAAATGGTGTAATCTGAACCTTATTAGATAGAAACAATATGGCTCGAGCACCTAGTTTATCAATCGGTTTCTTTTGGAACTTACCTTCCCGATTATCGTGTTCAACAGCCCTTTGTTCAGTTATCTCGACTAGATTTTGTTGTCCAAAGTACAAGATCAGAAGCCTTAGAAGCCTTTCAATGAACATCATCAAGTCTTGAAAGCGTCTTTTTAAGTACTGACGAATAGGCATTATTCACAAAAAAGTGTATTTGTTTCAGTGGTGATTGAAATTTAGTGGCGATTGACGGTTAGCTAACGACAGAGCGGTCCTGCAACTTTGTGCGTTCCAATGGCGTTTGCATATTTTGTTGAGATTACAGCCACATCAACACAGTTGGTGGGCTGAATAAAGCTATTTCCTCATTGTGCCTCTTATTGAAAGTGTTGGCTGGTGCTTGGGCAGCTCCAGTTCATCAAAGTGTGCAATAACAATAGCATGCGGGCGGTCCAAATGCGACCATTCAATTTAGCGGCTCATTTAACAACGAAAAAGTCTTTTCCAAAAGCATACACATAAACACGGGCACGTTTCTGGGCTATTTTGGCGTTTTAAGAGAGTAAGTAGTGTTGTGGGCTCGTTAAGACTATTGCCTGCGTGACAAAATATACTAATGAATTCCGCATAATCAGAGTAATATTTAGTAATTTACAATTATTTGATCCGCTCAATTAGCCAAGACCGCCTCGGTTTATTGATTATTGTTTCGTGCATAGACGTTATGGATTGTTGTGTCCTTAGTAGAAAACAAAGAACACGCAACCTTTTTATAATTAATGTATTTTTAGTTGAAGTCATCACAGGGTTTTAAGCTTAAGGAATGTAATCAAGGTGCTTTATACCTTCAATAAAGAAATATTCTTGAGACGTCGCTATTTCCCGCCACGAAGCTTTTAGTTCCAGAGGAATTTGAAGCCGACTATTTACCTAAAAGTACCCTTATATTAAGCTTCTATATACGAAAGTAATATCAGACTTCAACTTAAGTTGCATTTAGAACCGTTGTATTGGCTGAATAATTGGCATACCTAGGTCCCATTTTGGTGCCTATGGCTACGCCATTGGTTTGTTTGAAGAAGTTGTCCCCGAGTTAAAAACAATTGAGTGTGAGCACTAGATCGGCTAAGCGTAGTAGTATTTCAGATTTAGGTTCCTTAACAGTACGTTGATCTGTAAATACTGTAGTAGTAGTACGGTTAACATGCATCCAGGCTCTATCTAAGCCTTAACTAGCCAAACTGCAACTAAATTAAGATGGAATAACGATTCATCTGTTAATAATTGGTCGATGTAAGTGAGGTTATTTGGCCTTCTACAAAGTTCCGAAAATTTGACTAAAAAAGACACAAGACACTGTGATCCATATAGTTCGCAGGTGCGAATAATTATCAATTACAGAATGTTTTTCTTTCAGTAGGGTGTCGGCAAAAAGGAAAAGGTGCAAAACTTCCCAACTACTATATAATCAATATTATTGTGATCGTATCAGGTATAGTAACATACTGGACTGAGAGGTAGATCTTCCTGAATCATAACGCTTAGTTCACCGTCTACTGAAGTGAATGGCACAAGTTCACTTCTTTTTTTGCAAAATATACCTGTTTTGTCATCATTTTCCTCTGGCTTTCGACTTTTGGCGGTATATGCACATTTTTTCTTTGAAAAGTAAAAAGTGAAGCAAGGCCAATGAGTTATAAACCCCCAAAACGTGACGAACAGGGATCAACAAGGAATAAAAACACATCTTTGGGAGGCCTTGAGGTCAATTTTTAGCTGATAGTCGTTGGTGATGTCAGTTGAGGAGTTGACAGTTTCTGAACGAAGAAAAGTGGACAGCCAATTTTATAAGACTGCTAAAAAACTTACCCGAATGTTATTGCAAGTCGCTTCCTCGGCACGAACAAAACCAATATCGTCATTTACTTTTCCCTTTCTCAGAATCTGTCCTTCCAAGAATTCTTTTCCGCGTCCGCAGTTATATCGATTCGGGAGGGGGGAGGGGTGGGGAAGGTTTTTACACATCTCGGTATATTACGATAGCCACCTTTCAATGAGGTACTTCGAACACTTTAAGGGGTCGGTATGTTTCCTTGCGAATAACGAAGAGTAAGGGAAATAGTGGAGTATCCAGCTACCTCTAAAGCAGTGAAACATTGACTAAAACTTTAAAAACTCCTCTTGGAGATTTTTAGTATATATTTTACGTGCTGATTATTAAAATATTTTCGCCATTAAAGAGGGTATTTCCCTTAATTAAAAACGTTATTCTTAACTAATTTGGAGGGAAGAGGATATATGTATCCGTTTTAAGAAAAGGAAAGGTGAAATCGAATACATAATCTAGCTCTGAAAGATTTAGATGTGGTTATGAATTCGCCAGCGAAGTGAGAGAAAAAATTTCTGTGCGCGAGTCGCAAATTAAAAGTGGAAAAAAGTCGTTATGCCTGAGAGTTTAAGAAAAAATATAACAGAACTACAACAATAGATACAGAACTACAACAGTAGAAAATGTAGCTCCTGTATCCACCGAAAATAAAATTAACTCTGTTGGAACATATTTCAACGCATCTAACGGAAAATTAAGCCGTTTCTTTTTCGCCAAATTCGTAATAGGATTTTTTATACAATTGGCGATAACTGATTTGCGACTGTTTAATGTTTAATGTTTTACTGACCTTTTAGAGTGGCTTAACAGTCCCAGGCCAGTGAGGGCAATTTCAAAACCCTCATTAAAAATTTGACAACTGAAGAACTGATAATCGTTCCTGCCTTTTCACAGGTCTGCTAATCTTGAGCCCAGGTTCGTTTTGGCTCCTTGTCAGCGGTATGGTCGCCAATTACCGACCTCTGGGAGATTGGTATTTTAATCTCAAAATTGTGAGATTCCGGTTTTATTTGCGCATGACTGAATTCTTTATCAATAGCTTCCGGTTGACTCCTGCTCATGCTCAATTACATCTCACGGTACATAAATAACTCCACGGTATAAATATAGCCCTGCGGTAGATTAAAACAGAGATTACGATCGTATATGAAATAAATCATGCTCCAAGTAGTTGGTATCGACTGTCTGATATTAGATCAACCCGGTTAAAAGTAACATTAGCTCAATTATGACTGGTGAGTAGCTCAACGTGACGTTTACTGCAACTTAGCCGGTAAGTGTAGTATAAGCATTTCATAAAAGGCATAAAGCGTCACGTGATATGAGATTATTCTGACTCTAATCTGATCATCAGATTCTGAGAAACAATAAGGCTCCACGAAAGTTTATCATTCGGCTTCTGTAGAAACTCACCTTCCTGATAATCGTGTTCTAAAGCCCTTTGTTCAGTTATCTCGACTAAATTTTGTCGTTCAATGTACAAAGCAAGCCTCAGAAGCCTTTCAACTAACATCATCAAATCTTAGGTATCGCTGGAGAGGTATTATTCACAAAAAAAGCTTGTGCGTTTCAGTGGTGTTTGAAATTTGGTAACAATCGATGGCTAGGTAACAGCGGACAGATACAGCAACTTTTAGCGTTCCGACAGCGTTTGCTTTTTTCTCTGAGATGATAGCCACCTCAACACAGTCAGCAGACTAAATAAAGCTATTTCTTCATTGTGCCTCAAACTGAAAGTTGGGACTGATCACTGCTGAGGGCAGCTCCCAATCATCAAAGTATGCAATAAAAATTGTAAGCGGGCGGTCCATTTACTGAAGTCTTTTCCAAAAGCAAGCACATAAACACAGGCACGTTACAAGGCTGTTTTGTCGTTTACAGAGAAGTAGTATTTGGGGCTCTTTAAGAACAATGCCCTCTTGTTTAAGTTTTCTGATGAATCATTAACTTTGCAACATTTTAATTTGTACAATTACATGCATTAGACTCGCTCAATTAGTTGAGATCGCTTCGCTTCACTGATCATGATCTCGTGCATTGACACAATGTCCCAGCAGAAAACAATGAAATCAAAATCATCGTAGAATTTTAAGCTTTAAGATTACAGTCAGGAACTTTATACCTTCAAACTTGATGGTTTTAGTCCCAGAGGTATTAAAAGCCGAGGAATTTGCGTAAAAGTTATCTCTTAAGCTTCGTTTTACAAAGTTAACATCAAACTTTAACTTAAGTTGGACATAGAACTTTTATTCTCAGGTTCGAGTGATTCACGATAAAAGCAAAAACAAACAATTAACTACGTCAGAATATTTATTAAGTTAAGAATGCAATCTAGGTATTTTTATCCGCAATAAAAAGTTTTCGAGACGTCGCCCATTTCCTGCGATTCAATCTATTAGTCCGATAGAAATGGCGACGTCTCCAAATTCTTTTCCAAGCGAAGTGGGCCAGCCATTACATGTCAAAGATTTCATTTGTATTCACTTTGGAAGAATGGAGGCATTTCGTATAGTTGGCTTGATTTTACCGCGCATGCGGCCGATAGGTTCGTTCGCTGGCCTTCCCGTAAACAGCGTAAAAGCTCCACACAACATTTCCAACTTGACAAACAGCACTTGTACACGATATCGCCAACACACGGTTAGCGTTAAGAGATGCATCGTATCAGTGTCTTGATATCGCAACGATGTCGTCGAACGAAAAAGGATATTACTTTAAGCCAGTTGCCGCACTTTCTGTCCTATAAACTCTGAACTGAGGCTCGTCACGAGTCCTCTACGTCTTGCTCTGTGCACTGGATGGGAAATTTCTCTGGAACGTAAATTTAAGTCTTATGGGCATTTAATGCATATTATTTGTATATCAATAATCATTCCAAATTTGAGTCTACACCGGCAATCGCGCACAATTAAGGCTCAATGGCTTTGATTTCGCTCCTTTGTACGGCTAAAATATGTAAATATGGCAACCACTCTGAATAGTCAATATTGTGCCACTCTGAATAGTCAATATTTTGCATTTTCATGGCAGTGTCCGCGCAAAAAGGATGTGCGATGCCGGAGTTTAATATTTAGTATCTTTACGTAGTCGGGAACATTACTTAATGTATTCTTACAGGAGGTTTACACCTACGGAAGACTTCTTTATTGGGGATACGCTATCAACGACCCTCACCAGTCTAGTTCATTGAGGAAAAAAAATAACTGTATCACTAAATGAAGGAAAACTGAAACAACTACAAAAGGTGTTTACCTGTTAACAATTCGGTGAGATGAACAGGGTGGTTGCCTTCTGTGCAAGGGACTGGGAACTTTTCTGAAATGGGAAAGTCATTAAGAAATTATCTTAGACATTCATTTTAATTCCAATAGGCATGCTCTTCTTTTGCGGCATAGAGATTCAATTCTAGATCAATAGAAAAGTTTATAAACGAGGAATAGCGACACTTCAAAGCTCTAGAAGTGATTAAGACGACATTTTAGTTCAAGCCTTTTTATTTACACGAACATTAATGCATTGAGAAAATCAGAAACTGTCGACATGGCACTTCAATAAAGAACTGAAACTGGTCTCAGTGACAGCTTAGAAACGATATTTTAGAGAATGAGGTAGATTACAAGCTTTTGAAAGAAGTTGTGAGACAAAATGCATCTATCTAACTAGTAATTGCCCAAACAGCGCTCTACAGCGCGTTTCACGTTGAGAAGAAGCCTCAGTCTATCAGCACGCTCGTAGAACAAGGCTGTAATTAGATCCAGCTTAAAAAACCGGCTACGAGTAGAAAATTTTTTATCAAAAGTATTTAAATCTCCTCCCTCACATATTCATACAAATAGGAAGGCTTACACTGACTTTCGTATAGTACAAAGCGGGGTCATACAAATCAAGAAACTGTCAACTATAAATCTGTTACGACGAAGTAGTGGAACTGAGGTTTCATGCATTAAGATTATGTTCAAGCCTTTACTGGCCAAACTGCAACTAATTGATATGGAAAAACCATTTACCTGTTGGTAATTCGTCGACATAAGTGAGGTTATTTGGCCTTCTACAAAGCTCAAGGAAGTTGTCTAGAAAAGACACAAGACACTGATCTATAAAGTTTATAAGTACTAATAATCATCATCTTCATTTTTCTTTAATAGGGTGTCGGCAAAACGGAAAAAGGCACAGAACTTTCCAACAACTATATATATATATATATATATATATATATATATATATATATATATATATAAAATAATTGTGATCGTGTCAGGCATAGTAACATATTGGTCTGAGAGATAGATCTTCCTGAAAAATAACACTTAGATTACCGTCTACTGTAGTGAATGGCACAAGTTCACTTCTTTGTTTGCAAAATATACCTGTTTTGTCATCATTTTCCTCTGGCTTTCGAAGTTTGGTGGTATATGCACATTTTTGGTTTAAAAAGTAAAACATGAAGCAAGGCCAATGAGTTATAAACCCCAAAACGTAGCAAACAAGGATCAACAAGGAATAAAAACACATCATCTTTGGGAGGCCTTGAGGTTAATTTTAACTGATAGTCGTTGGTGATGTCAGTTGGGGAGTTGACAGTTTCTGAATCAAGAAAAGTAGAAAGCCCATTTTATAAGACTTCTAAAAAAAACTTACCCGAATGTTGTTGCTAGTCGCTTCCTCGGCACGAACGAAACCAATATCGTCTTTTATTTTCCCCTTTCTCAGAATCTGTCTTTCCTAGAATTTTTTTCCGCGTCAGCAGTTATAACCATTCGGGAGGGGGGAGGGGTGGGGAAGGTTTTACACATCTCGGTATATTATGATAGCCACCTTTCAATGAGATCCTTCGGACACTTTATGTGGTCGGTATGTATCCTTGCGAATAGCGAAGAGCCTGAGGGAAATAGAGGAGTCTGCAGCTACCTCTAAAGCGGTGGAAAATTGGCTACAACTTTAAAAATACATCTTGTAGATTTATTTAGCATTTATTTCATATGCGGATCATTAAAACTTTTACTGCAGTAAAGAGGGTATTTCCCTTAATTAAAAACGTTGTACTCAAGCAATTTGGAGGGAAGAGGATACATGTATCCGTTTTGAGAAAACGAAAGGCTAATTCTTTTTGGACACGGAAATGTAGAATAGCGCTGTTAAGAGACGTTTTATAGCCTGTAAGCCTTACAGAATTTCACCAAACAATTACACAAGCAAGCCAAACAAAGCAAACAACGAAAGAAGAAGAAAAATTATTCTCTGAGCAAAAAAAGTGGTACGCCTCTTTTTGCATTTTTCATGTTAATGCTTAATTAATCTTCTGGGTAAATTTTTAAAAATAGAGTAAATTACAGGAAGACTAACTGTCTAAAAGTGAAGAAAATGTGCTGATATAGTGATAACATGGTTTTTCCAACTAATAGGTTGTTCAACTCTCATAATCGCTTGGCCGGGAAATGTGTTAGATTTTTAAGGGGTAGTCAGATATTGAATTTCACTTGTTGTAAAGATTGAAAGATAAACAGGATTGGGCTACGGAAAGGAATAGCCTGGTTTAGATTTTAAAAGTTTTGCACACAAAATATCGTAACTTCTTAAAGTTCTCTTTCTCTGTAGAATCTCTGATTTGGAGATAGAAGAGTATTTCCTTTCAAAACATTGCTGTCAAATAAATTAAACAAGTGACAAACTTGGAATATGACCTCAGGTCACTTTGTTTCATAAACAATCAATGTACGTACAAGGTCTCCTTACATGCAAAGTTGTCAATAAATGTTGATGGTATAAGCGAATTAAGGGTGCTGGGCGGAATGTTTTTATCTAATCGATTCAGTTGATGTAAAGTCATTTTAGAACCGAAGCAAGATTAAACACTTATATGCAATATTTTCAAGATTGCCAAGTGGAAGCTCTAGGTTCCAAACAAACCAACAAGTATAAAAATGCTGCAATGAAATGCTCAAGCTCTGCCTTCTCCCAATTGACATCTATTTAGACAATGTGCCAGATGTGTTTCTCCTGCGATCTATTGTCTATTTCAGGAGGGGTATATTAACACGTTAAAAAGAAAAAACATCGTTAAAAGTGCTGGGATAATAGTATATGTCAATAATCCAGTTAAGTTCACGAAAACTGCGATCCATTCTATCTTACGTCATCTCACAAGGGTGCATAGAGCTTTCCAAACTCATCCTTTTCTCACGAAGTTAGATGCAATTCGTGTAATGCCAATTATATAGGCTACACGAGCCCTATTGTTCGCATAAGGAGTACAAATACTCCATGATTGGCAAACACCTGAAAAAACACGGACAAAGGCCAAGTAATCTTCACGAACAATTTAAGATTTTAAAGAATTACCACGGCAAACTAGTTTTGAGTGTCTTATTTATCAAGGAGAAGAGACCAACCTTGAACATTCAGACAGACTCCGTTCCGGCAAAACTTTTCACTTCGCTATTCCTATTTTTTGTTCTCCACTTTTCAATGTGATGTTTCACACTTTCGTTTTCAATTTAAATCATCGATAATCGTTTTCGTTTGCAATAACGCGAAATAGACTGAGTAGATATCGCCTTGTTTGGCACGAGCGAACGAGGGCCAACGAGTTCCGAGAAATCGTACTTGAAATTCTGTTCCAAGAACAATACTCCACTTCAACCACCACATCCGGTCAGGGGGGGAACTCATATCATTAGCTTACACCGACAAGTGAAGTACATTTCCTTTCGCCTGTTGCTTGTAATTGTCGTGAATAATAGTTAATTAGTAAAAAATGGAACACCATTTTTGAATTTCTAGCCATCCGATTAACTGAAGGGTGTTTGAGCATAACCCTACGCAACTCAAAATCTAGCTCTGACAGATGTGGTCTAGGTCTTCAACGAATTGGGGAAAAAATTTCTGTGAGCGTGCCGCAAAGGAATCGTGGAAAAAATTGCTGTGCCTGAGAGTTTAGGAAGAAATAGACCAGAAAATGCAACTGCTTTATCCAGCAAAAATCAATTTATATCGGTTTGAACATATTTCAACGTATTTAATTTAACGGAAAATTAAGCAGTTTTTATTTTGTTAATGCGTAGTAGGATCTGTTTACCCTTTGGGATAACATTTGCGACAGATTTATGTTTAATACTTCATTGACCTTTTGGAGTAACTAAACAGTCCCAAAGAGGGCAAATTAAAAACACTCATTAAAAATCTGACAACTGAAGAACTGATAATCGTGAATTCTTGCCTTTTTACACGTCCGCGAGTAATAGTAATAGCGGTATTTGTGCTCCAGTGAACCGTAAATAAATATCCGCGAATTGCCCCCGAACTGAAATAACATTTTGGAGTGTTGGATAATAAAACTCTTATTAAACGTTTTGTTGTGAAGTATCGCTGAGTAATTTTACTCGTTGTTTGTGTTTTGACTTGCCCTACGGGATCTTCAAAAATACGGCACCACTTTTAAAAATACCCAGTGATACTACACAACAAAGCTTTAAATAAGATATATGTAGTTCGAGAAATTGAATGCACTATTAGGAACCAAAATATCTACTGATACAAATGTGAGATTGTACTTGGCTAGTTTACATTGTCAACTTAGCTGATGTAACCAAATTATCCAGCTACGTATTTGTGTGCTTCATAGATAAGAAGTCTATTATGCCAAACAAATACTCGGAACACGACTTGTTTATTTTTATTTAAACGTATTACAACATGTTCCAATATTGCCTGAGAGTTCAAAAGGCTAATTAGAACCATTAATCCACTCAATTGTGATATTGGGAATAAGTGGTTGGAATGTACTTCCCGCTTTAATAATTAGCCTGTTTAAAGTTCTCGTTTTTCACATTATAAGCTAGAGAGTTGAGTCATAGGGAAAAATTAAAGCCGATTAATTTTAAATAGGGTTTAAAACTAATTAAACAATTCGAGATAGGATGTCGCAGGTTCGATAGCGATGGACTGTTGGGGTTAACTATCTCTAACACCAGTATTACGAGGTCAGATCTGGGAGGCGAGGGTTAATGAAACAGGAAAGCAAAACAAAGCAAACAAAACGAAAGAAGAATAACAGTTATTCACTGAAGAAAAAAGGTACTTTTTTTGCATTGTACAAAAAGCTAAATTGAGCTTTAAAATAAATTTTTAAAAATAGAATTAATTACAGAAGACTTATTGTGGCTAAAGTTAAATATAGTAATACCAAGGTTTTTCCAGCTGTGAATGCGTTAGATTTGTTAGGCGAAGTCAGATATTGAATTCCATCTAGTAGGTAAGGGTTGAAAGGTGAACCGGTTTAGGCTACGGAAGGAATTGTTTGGATTTTATAGGTTTTTTTTCACTAATCATCAATATATTTTAAAGTTCTCTTTCTGAATTAAAGAATCTTTGATTTAGAGGATATTTCCTTTCAAACATTAATTGCTGTCAAAGACTGAAACCAGTGACACAAGTAGAACATGATAACAAGTCACTTTGTTTCATAAACAATGTACGTACTTTACACGCTCAGTATTGAACGAATGCTAATGAAGTAAGCAAATTAAAGCCGTTTGACGGAAATTTTATTATCTGATCGATTCAATTAATTGATGTAAAGTCACTCTAGAGCTGAAGCAATCTCAAATACTTACATACGGTTTGGCAAGAAATTGCGTAAAATCCAGTATCAGATATTTTCATGATTGTCAAACGAAAGCTCTAAGTTCTAAAGGAACAAACTAGTGTAGAGTTGCTACAATAGAATGCTCTCTGTGTCTTCCCCAAATCAAACGATATTGCGTCCAGTAGTATTTACACTTATTGAGGCAATTTGCCAAATTGGTTTCTCTTTCAATCACATTTGGAGACAAGAAATCATTTACGATATCTACTTCAGGAGTGGTACATTTTAAACACCCTAAAAAAAAAAAAAGACAATGTTGAAAATGTTGCGATAAAAGTATGTATACTCTTCAACAATCCAGGTAAGTTCTTGAAAACTTCGATCCATTGTACGCTACTTCATCTCATAAGGTGCAAGCAGCTTTTTAAATTCATCCTCTGTCACGAATTTAATTAGATGCAATTCGTGTA